TTCTTCTTCTTCGATCTGAAACTGTGACAGCGCCTCCTCCGCAGCCAGTCGCGCCTTTAGAGCCCGCTTGAAGTTCCTGCAGGTTCGTTCAAGCTCCTGGTCTAATGGTAGTAGATCTCCCGACTGGCTACGGGTCATGCACTACCTGCACACAGTCAGCAGAAGCAACCCGTGAAGGCACACAGGTGGAAGAGAAAGAATGCAATAAAGAAAAAACTAGAGTAACAAATTCTCACGTTTCCCCAATAACCTAGAGGGTTCCCCGGCAACGGCGCCAAAAACTTGACACGCCAAAACACAACACCAAACTGCGACCAAGTGTAATCGCAGTCCGGGAATGTAGTAACAGGCAAGTTCTATTATCAACCCGGGGTCTAGGAATGGCAATTTCGACCTGACCCGTTTTACCCGACCTGTTTGACCTGTTTTGGGGCGGGTCCGACCCGCCCCGTAGGTGGGACGGGGCGGGCATGGGTACTCTCATAGACCCGACCTGCCCTGAACCGCCCCATTCTTGACCCGTTCTCCTCTAAATTACACTTAATTTTAGTCAAATTACTTAGGATTTTCCTTTTACTAAATCAAATTTTAGCTGTAATAAAGTTGTAAATTAGTGAAAACCTCAATTTCTCCAATAATTTAACTATATTTATCATAATATTGTTTGTTTCCATGGTCTTATAATAAAAATAACGAACATTTCTAATATTTTTCATATAAATTGCTTACCCATTGGGTCGACCTGCCCCGACCCGTGACCCGTGATAAATTACCCGACATGGACCCGACCTGCCACGGGGCGGGTCTAGGTACCAAGAAACCCGCCCCGGACCTGCCCCATTTCCATTCCTACCGGGGTCTAGATCTACTGCTTACTCCGTGATTATCTATTATCTAGCAAACTAGTTCGATTGATTGTTGTTTAAAGCGAAAGCAGTAAGAAAGCAAGGAAATTATTCGGTTTTCTCAAGCAGGAAAGAGTCACTCGGGAATGAGTCCCCCTGGCTCCTTAGTTAGGTTCAATTGTAATTCCCCTGGGTTGATTCACTGTTGATTAGACTGCGGAAGATCCGACAGTAGCTTGGAATCTCTTAAGCTGACCAAGCCCTCTCAGTCTAACTACCCGGCAGACTACTAGTCTTCACCGGGATAGAAAGCTGAAGCAATAAGCACAGAACTCCACTACTGGAATTGAATTCCAGTACAAAGCAGTAAACTGGCTAACTCTCGTATAACCAATCTCCTACTATCGAATGAAGAGGCTCTAACAACCTAATCAGATTCTATCTATCTCAGGTTGCAGCAGAAATCGAGAAAAGCTAATCAGACTTCAAACAATTCAATAAACATGCATCATTCGATTAAAATCAAACAGTATAATCATCCCAAGTCATTACAATCAAATCCCTAACACAAGGAACTAGGGTTCTTTATACCCAAGTGAGAGAAAGGTTCTACTCCATAGAGAGAGAGAAGAAAACAGTAATCGGATTAGTCATACTCATAATGATGAGGAAAATCTGCTCCGGGATGATGATTTCCACTCCTATGACGATCTCCAAGCTTGATTTGACGAAACCCAGCTCCAAGATAGCTTCTAGGATGTGTTCTTCGTACTTTCTCTCTCTAGGGCTCTCTTTTTGCTCTGAAAATCCGATTCTCCCACTTTTGGCTCGAAATTGGTTGAAAAACCAAGATTTCCCGACTCACACGGGCAGGCCACACGGCCGTGCGGCTCACCCAGTTGCCCGTGTGAGTCGAAACGCCGCGTATCAATAAGTTGCACTTCAGCCATCCCACACGGCCAGGGTCGCACGACCGTGTGGATTTCCTGCTCTGCCCGTGTTTGCTCTCGGTGAAAATCACACGGCCACAATTGTCAGTTGCACGGCCGTGTGATGTCCCGGACTGCCCGTGCGGCTTCCTTAGCACCTCGCCACGCGTCCGATCTTCGTCCAATCGACCCCAAACTCGCTCACAAGCCTCCATTCACGTACTAGGACCTGAAATATCACAAACAAGCACAACCTAGCGTGAAATCGGCCTAAAACACGAGAAATCACATCTCAAACGGTGTAAGAACAGAGGTAAAAACATGTGTAATTAACGGTCTATCATCTTAGCATCAGCCATATGAAATCGATCAAGAACATCAGAGATATACTTCTGTTGTGATAGAAGAAAACCTGAGGGATTGGGTAAGATTTCGATACCCAGAAAATAATTCACCGTCTCCCTTCTACATCCCTCCATAATCAGACACCGTATTTCACTCTTTTTAATGAGTCTCCAAATTATTTTAAACTAAAGAGTTTTGGGTGTCTTTGCTATCCGTGGCTCCGCCCGTACAGGGCTCATAAGTTAGCCCCTCGTTCTCGACCCTGTATTTTTCTTGGCTACTCCACGAACCAGAGTGCATACAAATGCTATGATCCAATTGATTGTCGTGTCTTTGTTTCTTGACATGTTTAGTTTGTCGAAACTACTTTTCTTGGCCTTTTGATAGAGATAATTCAGAAAAGTTAATGAGATTGCCTCGAGAAGGTGGCTGGTGTTGGTGAAGCGGTTGAAGTGAAGAGTGTGGTTGCTCCTGATAAAATTGGCGATTGACATCCTGCTGGGGGTGCTGAAAGTAGCGTTGATGAGAAGTATGTTGCGAGGGAGAGTGGCCACGACCATGCGCTACTTGGCCTCGAACACCACCGCGTCCACGTTGAATAGAAAAGGCCGCCGTGGGTGAGTGGCGGCTAGCAGCAAGATCAGATTCGAACTCCACCAATCTGTCATGGAGATCTTCGACATCAATCGGGTTCTCACGAGCACGAAGGGCAGCCGCAAGAGGGCCAAATTCTGAGTTCAGCCCTCTTAAAATGTTAAGAACAAGATCTTCATCTGCAACCGGTGCTTGGACAAGAGCTAGCTCAGTGCAGATGGTTCGCATCTCCTGTAGAAAAGCAGACACAGAACGGTTGCCTTGTCTCTCTTGCACAAGACGGGTCTTCAAACCAATGACCCGAGAGCGAGAATTTCCTGCATACATCCTCTCAAGGATGGAGTATGCTTGACGAGCAGTGATTGCTGCAAAATATAGGGAGACACCACATCGTAGACAGAGGACAGTATAGCATGCAGGATCAACTGATCTTGGCGATACCATCGATTGCGTCCCGGTGCTCCTTCTGCCGGCTGCGTGTTGGTGCCGTCAACAAATGACAACAAATCCAGTCCACGAAGAAGAGTTAACAGCAGCGCACGCCATTGAGGAAAGTTATTTTTGTTTAACTTTGTGGGGAGCTGTGAAGCCGGATTTAGAGAGATGACATGATTGTCATCGCCGGTGAGTGGGAGTACCACGGATCTGTCGCCGCCTGTTGGGGAGTCAGATATGATGATAATAGAAAGTGATGTGCGGCCGAGGGAAGTGAATAATAGTACTGGAAAAAGAAAGAATAAAATTGGCGGAGAGTGATATGCGGCTAGCTTGAGTTGGTGATTTTGGGGATTTCTTTTGTTTTTGGAAGTTGTTGTCGAAGAAGGCGGGAGCGATGTGCAGCTGGCTTGGGTTAGTGATTTTGGGGATTTTTTGTTTTTGGAAGTTGCTGTACGTTGTCGACAAGAAGCAAGAAAGGAGGAGGGTGTAGCTTGGAGAATGGTGGCTTGGTTAAGGGATCGAGCACTTGTGCTTTTTGTGCTCTGATACCATGTGGAGATATGAATTCTATTGATGGAATATATATCTATTACATTGATACAGAAGGCTAGCCGTTTATATACATACACTTGACAGTAAAATGATGTGGGTGATTACAAGTAGTTGGCTGTAGATGTGAGTCTCTGAATATGAGATAGTTGGCGGGAGCAGAATAGTGATGGAGGGAAATAATGGTTATGGTCTGATGTCAATTGGAGGAGTGATTAATAAGAGGTATTGTCTTCTGTAAAATGGCATGGGTTCCAAGTATAGGTTGTAATTAACTTTTCTGAATTATATCTCTATCAGTAAGTATTCTATCCAAAATATTGTCATAAAAGTGGGTCACAATGAATTTTTTCCAATCTAGACTATGATGATTTCGTGGTTTGCCATGGATTTGTGAGATTGATTAACAAGGCTTATTCGATGGACTTGAGGAAACCTGTTCATTACTCTCGCAGAGTTGGATGGAGTCATTGAGAGTGTCGACTCTCGAGTTTGGTTTACGATAAGTAACAAAAATTTTATACTTAATACGACACACGTCTTATGTATTATTAAGTTGCAGTTAGGGGTATCACTTGTTTTGTGGTTTTTGGTTTGACCACAAAGTATGACGCAACTCTAATTAATTTGCGATATGATGATGGTTTTAAGAATGAGATAATCAACCAAGCATTATCACTTGAATAAGTGGCTCTTAATGATCCTTTGACTTCACCCACCATGACTTTTTCTTTCTTTTTGGCGGCTAATTGACAACTAAGCCTAACCACTATGGATGGGATTGACCATAAAATGGGACAATAGAGCAACGTGTGACAAGAAAACTTAGGATGACTAGCCCCTATTTGAATTTCCATTCTAACAACCATCACACTCAACGCTTTTCCAACTTGAAAAACCAAAGTCAAGATCCACAAATAGCAAATGCTTTGTGATATTTTTGGGAATCGTCACATCCGCTTTGGATATTTGTTTGGAAATCGTCAATATGTATGTTTCAATTATCCTCATTGAATTTTGAATATTTTTTTATAGAAAAAAAATTCCAAAACTCAACGAGGACAATTTGTTTTTTTGTTTTATGAAAATTCCTCCAACGGGCATCGTACTTATTGTTATTGATATCGTTACCTAGATAAGTCAAATTTTCCCTAACAAGAGATTGAGGTGAGATATTATGCTTTATGTCAAAATGAAACTTATTGTGTTATTTATGATGATTATTATTAAAAGTATTTAAGCTATTTAACTTTCCCTCCTTGTATAAACCAGAAAGAACAAATTATTTCGAAATTGCTATCACTATTCAACAACGTGTTTTCTCTTCCTTTATTATCAAGAAGCATCCAAAATTCTTACAATTTTATTATTAGGAGAATGACATTTTAGTCCCATCCAGTTATTCCCCCTTCTTCTCTAAGACTCTAACTCCTTGCCTTGATGGTCACATGCAAGGGTTCAAGTTTCCTAGCAGTAAGCGCCAGTGTGTCCACATTCTCTTCCTCTCCTTCCTCCAATCGCCACTCGAACTGCTGCACCATCTTCCCAATCGAAGTACAAGAAATCAGCATCGCCTGAAGAGCTCCGGCGCAAGCCCTCCTCCCTCCTCCAAACGCCATCGTTTTGTGCAGATCCATCGTCGTGTCCGATCCCCCGTCCAGAAACCTCTCCGGCATCCACTCTTCCGGGCTCTCCCACTGTTTCCTGTCCATGTTGCATCCGTACAAGTTCATAGCTATCTGCACAACAAAACATATCAGTATCAGAGTCACGTTTCAGATGTTTTTTAGTAGCTGAAGTTGCAATTGGCAGGATTGACATATTGTTACGTACCTCTGTCCCAGCAGGAACGTGGTACCCTCCCAACTCCGTGTCGACGTCCACGTGGCGCAGGGGAATGATCGGAACAGGGCTGTGCCTTCGAAGGGTCTCGTGGAAAATGGCGTTCAGGTAAGGAAGTTTTGACAGATGTTGTTCGGAGAGTCCCTCGGATGATCCACATGCGGTCAGGATTTCCTGGAAGAGTCGTTCCTGACGGTCAGGATTCTTGGCTAGCTCGTAGATGGTCCACTCCGTTGCCACCATTACAGTATCGGCCGTCTCGATGATCGTCTCCCATACCAGCATCATGATCTGGAGGTCCGTCAGGGTCTTACCTTCTGATAGCAAGTAATCAATGTAACAATCAATCACCTGATGACAATGAAATGAAACATCAGATGTGATCGCACAGAGTTAGTACGTGGTTAAATCGTACATTATTGAATCTCTCCCAACAACTCGAGTTATTGAGACCAATTGGGTTCTCCCTTACATCTCCAGACGCAATTCGTTGCTTGCATTCCTTGATCAGGGCATTCATCACTGCTCGTCGGAGGAAATTCATCCGCCGGATCTTCTTCTCGAAGCTGGGGTTGGGGATCCATCTCAGATACGGGAAGAAATCTCTCCAGTCTACCTCTATGGCGCCTTCCATCTGATCAAGTACCAAAATTCTGAAGATCTCTTCTCTGGACACCGTACTCCCCAATTCCTCGACGTAGATCGACTCCACATCCTTGCCAATCGCCTGCCTCGTGGATAAACCGAAGAGTTCAGTCTCAAAGATCTTCCTGAAATTCAAAGCTTCCCCGGGACGAGCCTCGGCATGATCCCGCAACTTCGTTGCTATGTTCTCCACCATTAGTTCTCTCTGGTACAGAAGCCTTTTCTGTCGAATTCAGCAGCAGCAACAACAACAACAACAAAAGACGACATAAACATTATGGTCAAACTCTGTAGCTAAGCAAAAAGAGTACAATACGAGTGGTAATGTAGAGATGAGAACACGAACCTGAGCGCTCGGGCTCAACAGGTGAGTGAGAACATGACGTTTGATCGTCCTGTGGAAGTCGTCATAATCGCTCATGGCGACGATGGATTTGTCCTCAGTCAGCATGGACAGAGCCTTGGATAGCTTCCTTGTGCTTATGGACGAGAACTTGGCCACCATGGCCTGTGACGTAGCAAGAAAAAACAAAATGAAATTCGGATTTCAGCCAATTAAGTTATAGCACCGTTCAATTCCATTAATCTGAACACCGTACAAAAGTTGGACTCTGACAATCGAGGAAACAGAGACCTCTTTGGCGACGGCAGTGGTGTTGAGAACGACGACGGAGGAGGAACCGGTTTTGATGGAGTAGATTGGGCCGTAAGTCTCGGCCCATTTGGTGAACGTTTTGTGGGGTTTCTTCTCCTTCAGCTGCAGCAAGTTCCCAAGCACCGGGAGCCCGGGCACCTGAGGAACTCGCCGGAGGCAGGGGCCGGCTCTGTTTTTGCCGGCGGTGAAGTTTGTCAAGAGGCGCAGGGAGAAAAAGAGTGAACAAACGGCGACGACGGCTAGAGTGGCGTATCCCGCCGGTTGGAGAGTGAGGAGAGTGGTGATTATGGAAGAAGCAAGCGCCATTTTCTTTTTGTTGATTAATTGATGGGTTTGGAATGGAAGTGTAGTAGTTCTCGGTTAGGCTCTGTTTTGGGCAAAAAGGCTTGCTTGACAAGGGCTTTTATAGAGAGGAGAGTATGTGGCTAATTAGCTACGTGGAAGAATGCGAACCATGGCTAAGATCGAGTAATTCTAATTAATTCAAACAGCCAGACTGGTCAAACTTTCGGCTTGACTGCAATGGATGGAATTGGAAGGTGATGATTTTTTGGAAAATAATTAACTTATAGGGATGACAATGGCTAGACCAATTAGGTAATTGAATCTATTTGTCACGATTTATTTGGATATTAGGTTTGATTCAAATGGACTCTTAATGATTTTGGGTTTGTGTTTGGATTTGGATTGGGTCCAATTTAAATCATCACATTTGAGTCGAATCCAAATGAGTTTATTTTGGTCTATATAATTATAATACGAAAAAAGCAATATCGATCATCAAATTGTTAGTCTTAAACCAATTCACCCCATCAATGTTGGTATTTCCACATTTAGACTCAAACTAAATGGTTGAGTATGTGTATAACCCAAAAGTGATATTAACCAAATTTGATTTGACTCATAATGATTTGAATTTGGAGGTACCCAAATTATGGAGAATTTTTGCCATCCCTATTGAAGTGTGAATATGTGATACGATTCAATGAGAAATTATCACATATGACATATTTCTATCAAGTCACACTTCTTGAAAAAATTATTATGGTCGTTCCTCGCACCTCAAATTAACCACGTTATTTTATCAACTCGTATTTTGTGACAAGCAGCGTAAACATCTAATTAAGTTGCATTAATTTGAATTATGTTAATTCAATTTTTTATTGTAATTTGATTTTGATTGTCAATGTTAATCCTTTTGTTTTTATTTTATCAATAATTTTATAAAAAAATATCACTTTGTCAAGTACTTATAGTGACCCATTCCATTTTTTGAGGCAAGTATCACTCGAATACCTAACAAAGTACTTGGAGAAGACTTTGTTCAATTGATTCATTAAAAAAATTAATGAAACACATTTTAAATTGAAGGTGATCTTGAATGCTTCTTTAGAACTCACCCGACCAAGGAAGTTATGACTTAATGGGTGAAGCATACCAGTAGAGGTGGTACTTGGATCGGATTCGTGGATTCATGAATTGGATTGGTGGATCCATGGGTCAAATGGATTGGATCCAATGGATTGGATCAAATGGATTGGTGGATTGATCAATGAATCCAAATGACATCCAAGGCTTGGACCAAAATGTAAAATTTGAAAAGTTTTGGTACTAAAATGTCATAATGAAAAATTTTAGGTACCAAAATGTAATTTTCCAATGATATTTTTCGTATAAAAATATAAATTTTAGGTACCAAAATATAAAATATAAAAAATATAGGTACCAAATCGTAATTTGCCATTTGGATCCATGGATTGATCCATGAATCCACCAATCCAATTAGATTTGGATCAAATGGATTGGATTTAAATGGATTGGATTAGGTGGATAATTTGGTGGATGGATTGGATTGAATTCATGGATTTGAATCCTAATTGCCACCTGTACATACCACAAAAAAGATATTTGATCTGGTTGTCTTCCATATTCAGAGGACACAATGGTAACCATACATTCAATTTCCAATTCATGAACTTACCTCCACTCCACCTAATCGTCACTCAAAATCATGTTGTCCAAAACTGACGATAGAGCAACAATAGAAGAAGGAGAATGATAAAAATCCAGATTGTATCATATTCGAGCCAAAATTACTTGATGAAAAAGCTATCGAAGTTGAGAAGAAGAAGGGCAGAATTTGGTCAAGTCTTGGAACATTTTCAAGATGTCTATTTTGGAGGCATGGTTCTCTCAATTGGGTGAATGAAAATTTGAGTTTGATAGTTTGTTTTGAAGATAAGAAGTCCATTTACACGATGGTATGCTTGTTAGCCCGAGAGGAAGTCCAGAAGGCCATTTTCCAGACGTCCAAAGTTGCTATATGGAAAGCTGAAAACTGCCTGAAAATGGCCAAGGCAGAAGACTGGTTTGTGAAGCCTACTTTGGAGCTCAATTCGAGGAGCATGAATCTTATTCGAGTCCAAAGGATTCCATAAAATGAAACTAGGTATGTTTGTATACAAAGGGAAGGAATTGGATGAAAGATTGGAGTTCTGGATGGTCTCGAACGAAGACGCGAAGTTAGTACAAAAGCTGTTTTTGGACCGTTTGCCGGCAACTTTCTTGTGCATAAAGAAAAGAAGTTTGTAGCCGAGTTTTGTGCTGTTTGTAGAGTTTATTTTTACCTTAATTGTGTCCTTGTTTCACTAGGTTTGTATTAGGTTTTTCTTGCTTTAAATACCTCCCAATTCACGTTGTAAAGAAGCCAAGTTTTAGTTGAATGAAAAATTACTTCTACGTGAGTTTTGAGTTCTTTGAGTTGTGTCTCAAGAATAAAATCCTTGTGTTAGTTTTGTATGGATTCCATTGCTAATTCAAGAACCATTGTCAACCCTTTCTGTGAGGATTCCAGATTCGTTTAACAAGTTTCTTATCAATAAAGTAAACACCTTGATTGTGGCGAAATTCTATCTATCCATCTTTATCGTTCGAGTGTTCTTTAGCGGCATATTCTGGTAAAAACAAGCACCCCCCTTCGTGCTTGTATCAGAGAAGGCAGTTCATGCTAGCTAGTGAGCATGGGAGAATGATTGTCGAGGTGAGGAGAGGAAACTCAATGAGGTGCAAGGGAATCATCTCCGATTGATGCTTCAATTCTCTCTCTCCAATTGATCTTATCGACTTTCACGTCAGTAATACATATGTTAATCAAATGACATTACCATTTGTCACCTACTTAAATGGAAACATTTATCATTTTCCTGTAATGTCAACCAAAACATCGCTATATTGGAAAATAGATGTGAAGCACCACAATTTTGAGAATTTTCTTTTAAAAAAAATTTATTTTAGGAAGAAATCCGATATTATGTGTTGTTACCTTTTCCAGCCACTTATGAAGACTAACTCGAAGTCAATTATGGGGTCTCAATAATTCATTTCCATCCCGTACCATCTACGTTCGCTTCCATCACAAGTCGGTATTGAAATATGAATCTCTTTGGACCACCGCCTCTGTTCTGTTACAGTTGCAGTTCCAGAGAACAAATTTCTTTCTTTTTTCGGCCAAACTGAGAATTCTTCGCTAATTTGTCAAAGAAAAAGACGAACAGAATCTGTTCCTAGAATAGGAAGGAAAGGCTCATTTGTGAGATGAGAGTTTAGCTGCATTGATTGAGAAAAAGGCTCAAGGCCCAAAAAGGTTGTCAGCCCAAAGAAGGGGATACAAAAAGAATGGATTGGCTTACAAAACCCAACAAAACATGCACCCAAATCCTTTGCTCAATAAGCCAGGTATGTGCAATACAACTCCGGCCCCCTTGCAGCAAAGCTCCAGCCAATCGTATTCGTAGTACTTGAGGCCTTCAGATGCTAAAGGATGCTTTTAGCTGCGGCTACAATTAAATTTCTTTTACAAGAGATAATCAATTGATTGACTGAAAAATAGAGGATTAAACTCTTGAATCAATCCATTCAAAAGAGCAAAACTAGGTTGGAGACGAAGAAAAAATCTTTCTGGCCACAAAATTGGTTACTCTATTGCTAATTCGATCTAAAAAACGAACATGAAAACCAACCACCATACACACTATTTCCTCAAGGATGGCCCAACACGTGGCATCCTTCGAATTTATCTTACCAACACGACTATCCCTGGCTACAATTAATTTAATTTATTAAAAAGGTAAGTTAGAAAGAAAGACTTAATTAATAAGTATGCTTAAGAATAATATTGAAATAAGGAAGAAGGAGCTACTTAAGATATTCAAATCTTAGATTTTCATATTGAAGACAAGTGATAGTACCACTAGATCAAATTACTACTGTTGTGATATTTTAGAACTAGTATAATCCCACTCGCTATTGCTTCGCGTGTGAGCGAGAACATGATATTTTAAAGATTGATAGTTTGAATTTTGACCCAAAAATAAAGAGTTGGTCATCTACAACTCCATGTTGTCGATGCAGCGATGAACTTTAATAAGGGAGAAGGGTTATCGAGCAAATGATTTCTATGTTTAATCTTCTCTCTAGTTTGTATTATTTTTTCTTTGGTTTTTTTAAAGTTCATCTTGATTATTCTTTTTATGGATTTTTGGGACTAATCGCAGGTTTGAGAAGGTTCAACTCACTTTGTCGGGTTAAAGCGGATAAAACTCGCTCACGACCCAAAATTAGGCAACATCATGTTCAACTCTCTTTGATCAAGTTGGACCGAGTTTGTAACAAATTCACAACCGACCCGACCTGCCAAGTACAAAAGCCAATAAAACTCCCTCTCACCCGAAAACTTTTAAGCACCGGGTTCAAGTCGTTTTGATCAGGATGAATTAGGTTGGATACCCATAGGTTTGGGTTCTCAACCAAAAGGAAAAGGTTAAATAAAAAAAACACTAAAGCGGATAAAATCACTCCCTACCAAAAACTCTACACACCGAGCTCAATTCGCATTGACTGGTTCGAACCAAGTTTTTAACAATTCACACTCCGCTCAACATATTAATTCTAAAATAAGATAAAACTCGTTCTCTATACAAAACTCGTCAGCACCCGGTCTGGATTCAATTGTCATTCTCAACCAAAAGGAAATTGAGAAGTAAATTTTTTTTTATTTAAACGGACAAAACTCGATCTCGATAAAAAAAAAACTCGTCACTCTATGTTCAGCTCGGTTTGACCGGGTCGAATCAGGTTTTTAAAAAATTCACACTCGACCCAACCTACCAACTACAAAAGCGTATAAAACTCACTCTCGATACAAAACTTGGGTTCAATTGACATTCTTAACGAAAAGAAAAAATAGAAATTTAAAAATACTAAAATCGGGTTCAAAGTCGGTTTGACCTAATCGAATTATGTTGAAT